AAAGTTTTTTCTATGTATTATAACATCATCTATTATTTCTAATATTTTTTCAATAAAATTATAAATGATTATACTAAAAATAATAATCAGTTTAAGTTTTTATTTCTTCTCCGTCTTTTATTGATTTTTACATATATATTAATATATATATACAATTTTAATAAATATATTTAATATATAAATAAATTAATATAAAAAAAATAATATAATGTATTTACAAATAAAAAAAATATATATAAAATAAATAAATAAATAAAAAAATATAAATATATATATAAAAATTTATATATATATATATATATATATATATATATATATAAATATAAATATAAATATATATTTATTTATTTATTTATTTACCTTAAAATAAAAATAAATATATAATAAAATTATTATTTAAAAATGGATTAAAAAACTGAATTTTTAAATATGTGAATAAATATCTTTTAATTTATATCATAAATTAAGTTCTTCTTATAATTTAGTTTTTTCTCCTGCTGGTATATATTTTTCATTATTAAATGCCGCCATATAACTTTCCGAAGTATAAAAAAAACCTCTATTAGAATTATTAAATTTACAAACATAAGAATAACTTTTAGATTAAAAAGAGAAAGCCTTACAATATATACACTCTATTCCAGACTAAGGCTAATAAGTAGAATAAGTTTGCAAAATATTCGATTAATCTTAAGACCCTTAGGAAATAAATAACTAAATATAATAAGAAACTCATGGAAAGATGAAATAATATTTAGGGGAAATTGTTCCTAAAGGGAAACTATTAATTAATGGATTTCATTTTAGATGCGAATGGAGTAATAAATTTAAATACGAGAACACTAAAATGGGTATATTTAATTTAGAATATGGAGATTCTGGTAAATAAGTAGAAGTGGAGATGATGTTTTTGAAAGAAAAAATGACTTTTAATACAAGTATGGAATGTAAATATTTACAAATTCCATATAAAGGAAATGAGTTTTTTTTCAATATTTTATTACCATTTAAGTCTTTAGAAAAATTCGAAAAGGAATTTGATAAAAATACAATTGTATTTTTATAAAAAACCGCAAATCCGACTAAAGTAAATTTGCTTTTGCCAAAATTTAAAGTAGTTTAAAAAAATCCAGTGGATATTTAGGAATTTTTTGGAAATTCATTAGAAGTTTTTAATTCTTTTTTATGTAAAACAAGTATCAAAGTTAATGAAAAAGGAACTGATGATGAAGTAGTTTAATGTGAAAAATAACATAAGTATGGTTGTAAACCTATTGATTTTGATTTTTTTTGTGATAGACCTTTTATTTATGTTATTACTGATAAAAATAATAACTTCTTGTTAATGGGAAAAGTAACTAATCCTTTGGAGAATTGAAATTATTATTTATTCAAGTATATTTTAAATACATTTTATATATTTATTTATATTCCAGTGTTTCAATTTTTTTTTTTATTTGTATTTTTTATAGTATACTATAATTATAAAAAATATATTTAAATAATATTATATATATTTACATATATCATATTTTTATATAAATTTTATTTAAATATCTATTATAAAATTTAATATATATTTATAATTATAGAAATAATAAATAAATTAAATTAAATTACTTTTTATTAAAATTATAATTTTAAAGTAATAATAACATCTTAAAGAATTATTTATGAAATATGTAAGATAATTAAATATATTTTTTATAAAAATAATTAAATTTAAATTTTATATATTTATATATAATAATATAACTATAAAAATTAAATATAAACTTTAATACTAAATAATTTATGTATTTAATAGTAATCGTAATTAAAAAAAATTATTGACGTATGAATTTAAAATTATTAAAAATAATGTATTGTTAAAAATTATTAAAATTAATATATATATATTTATTAATAAATATATATGTTTATTATTTAATAATATATATTTATAGTAAAAAATTATTTATTCATATTATTTTATTATATATATAAATATATATATTATATATATATATATATATATATTTATATATATATTTATATTTCATTATTTTATTTATTTTGTTTATTTTTTTAATTATTATTTTTCTATTATATTTTGATTTGATTTGATTTTATTTTTATTTTAAATATTAATATTTTTTATTTTATTTTTTCATATTTTTTATTAATCTATAAACTTATCGAATTTTTAAACTTTTGATAAAGGAAATCCTACTCTATAAATAAAAAAATATATATAAATATTTTTTTTTTTACTTTGATTATAAATTAAAATCTTCTTTACTATTCCTAATAATTTTAATATTATCTTTATTGTTTTACTATTCAATCTTAAAAAAAATATAAAAAATTTAAATCATATTTATAATTACATCTGCAAATGCAACAACCTTAGGTATATTATTTAATTGACCTTATTTTTCATTTTAACTAATAACACTTTATTAAGATTATATAGATGATCTTTTTTTTTCGTTTAGATTATTTGGATAATAACCATTTTATGAATTAGGTTTTTCATTTTATTGTCTGTATAAATATATATAAACGTAAATTTAAAAATAATTAAATATTTTTTAAATATTATTTTATATAACATTCTTATTTTAATTTTATTTTTTATTTGATTATAATATTAATTTATATTAATATATATTTCTTATATATATAATTATACTAATTTTTATTCTGTAATTAAGAAACTATATTGCTAACAGCTATACTTTGATTATCATTTACATTTTATTTATTATTCTATTTATTTTTTTAATTAACTTAAGATGCATTCACAATTGATTATTCTTTAGCAGGATTCATATAGGCTTCATAATTTTTTAAACCTTCTTTTTCACCTAATAATTAATATTTAGGTATAAGAGGATTTACTTATCTTGTAGTAACTATTCCTTTTTTCAAAGAACCTACTTATGTTTCAGGAATATCTTATGTAATATTTGTTTATCTAAAATCTTTTCTATCCTTTATAAATATATATTACTATATAGATTATTATTTTTAATAATTACAATTCTTCTTAAAAATTTTTCAGAAATAGTTCCATGCCATCCACCTTTTAAATCATTAGTAGTTAGACTAAAATTTACTTTCGTGATTCCTAAGGATGTAATCTTCTACCTTTACTACCTCCTATCTAACCAAATTCAAATTTTTTACTTTTATTTATATAAAAATTTAAGTTTTTATTTTAAAATTATTATATATACCCTTATTCATCAGAAGTAACATATGTAGGTTCTAAAGGGTTTGTATGCCTAGTTGTTTCAAATTAAAGAAATTCATTAATGTCTTTTACATCTAAAAAATCTTTATGATCTCTTGGAATGAATAATTTTTTAGATCTAGATCCTTCTATTTCTGTATATATATCAACGTTTCTTTATTTAAAACATCTTCTGTTCGGTTTAGTCCCTTGTATATCCTATTTATATAATATAATATTTATATTTTTATTAAATATTATAAATAGTACATCTATTTATATATTATCTCTTATAAATTTTGGAGGAGTAGAAACTCTTATTTAAACACTAGGAAGTTTGTAAACAGGTTATAATGGATTAAATGATTATCTTGTGGTCTAAAATTTATTTATTTAAGGTATTGAACCTTTAATATCTTTATTACATAGTTGATAATCAGGCTTATTCTAATATTAGACAGTCTTTTTGGGAGATGTTCCGTCTATATCATCTATTCTATTAACAAATGTTTCTTTTTGCCAATATTTATAACCTTTAACTTCAGTTTTTGCACCTTATTTATATTGTTTTTATTTATTTTTTTATTTATCTTGAAGTTATTTTTTGTACCATCGATATCTGAAACATCAAAATTTCTATTGTGTAAAGTTTTGGATTAAAATTAAGGAAATCCTACATCTTTTTAATCTATTTTTAAAAATAATACAAATAGATATAAATAAATGAATATATATAAATATATATATATATATATATATATATATATATATATAAATATTATTTATATATATTTATATTTATATTTCATTTTTTTATGCTTTTTTTTATTTACTTATAGTTTAAAGATACATCAATTAACTCCTATTTGGAAATTTCCAATCATAAGGATCTGCAACTATTTCTTATATATCCATAATTTTATTTTGTGTCATGTATTTTTTTATTTTTTTTTATAAATATGATGTTTTTTGTATATAAAAAAAAATTGTTATATTTTTTTAAATTGATTTTTTTTTTAGAAATTTAAAAATCATCTAAAATAATTATTGATTGCATAATCAATAAAAAAATTGAAAATAAATAAAATATTTATATATATATATCTATATTTTTTTATTATTTATAATTTTTATTTATTATATTTTATTTTATAAATTTTTAGAACTTTTTATTAAATTATTTTTTAATTATTCAATAGTAATAAAAGTGTACATTTTACAACAATAATTATATTTCATAATATTTTTTTTTGTTTAAGTTGATATTTTTTTATATTTTGGATATATTTTCTGTTTTTTATTTCTAATTTTTTATTTCTATTTTACATATTCTTATTAATATTTATTTATAATTTTCTAATTTATATTTTTACAGATATATTTAAACCAAAAAAATTTAAATATTATAATTTCTTTAAAAAAAAGAGTATTTTCTTTATAACAAAATATTCATAAATATGTTTTATTTATACAAATATTTTTAATATAAAATTCTCTATAATAATATATGATGAAACTTAATCTTAATTACAAAAAATTATATAGGATATTGAAAAAAATAATAATATAAAGTTATTTTTATTACGTATATAATATTATAAAGCAATAAGAAGAGTTACCAAAACCATTATAAATAAAATTCTTATGATGATAATAATATATATTTTTTAATAATAAATTGTAATGAATTAAAATCAACAACTTTTTTAATTAAATAGAATTTTATATAGAATAAATATTTCTAATTTTAATAATATTATTTTTAGTATAATAATAACTAATTATTGTGTTATCAAATGTGTTTCAATAAAAATAAATTATTTAACTTATATAAACTATTTTTCCTTTTAATTTAATTTTTATTACATTAATAGTTGTTTATATTTTTATATGATATTCATATTTTATAATATTATATAATTTAGGTTATAAGAATATATACGAATATTATTACTTATAATTAATTTAAAATATAACTTATAAAAAAAATGAGACCAATAATACATAATAAGTTAATGTATACAAACGTAATTTGCTTTGATTAAAATTAAATATAAAATTAATATAAGCTTAGTTTATTAATTTATTCTATAATATTCTTTTATAAAGACAAAAAGTATAATTACATAAATATAATAAATAGTTATATCTATTAATTAAATGTATTACATTTTATTTTATTAGATTAATTAACTTTAATTTAAATTTCTTTCTTTTATATAAATACATTATAATATACTTTAGACTTTTTAAATTAAAATATTTTAGAAAGTTTAATCTAAAGAGGTTTTCTAATATTAGTTTTTATATTAATTACTTTTATAAATAACAAAAACTTTTATACTTATATTTTAGATTTAATTTATTTCCTTTTTCTTCCTTTTATTCTTTTGTTATCTTTAAAAAATATATATAATTAAAATTTATGATTTAGCATAAAAAATGAAAAGCCTTTAATTTTATTTTTATTTTTTTTGTTTAATATTTTATTAATTATTAAAAAAAATATTATTATGTATTTGATTTTACTAAAGACTGTAAAATTATATTTATATATATTTAATCTTATATGTTATTATATTAATATATATATATATTTATATATATATATATATATATATATATATTTATATTTTAAATAATATATATTTACTTTTAACTTAATTTTTTAATATTTTATTTATTATTTGTGTTTAATTGTTTATATTCCTTTTTTTATTAATTAAATGTTTTAGAAAAAGAACATGATTAAAATAATAAATAGATTTATTATTTAAATATTAATTAATATAAATGTTTATAAATTATAAAAAACAATATTTAAATTTAAATAATGTTCATATACTATTATTATTTAATTATCTTTAAATTCTTGTTTCATTTCTACTTATAAAATAATCATCTATTAATTATAAATCACATTAGAATTTTTTCGAAAAAACTTTTCTTTCCATATCATAATAAGGTTAATCATTTTAACTAATTTCATTTACTTTTTTTTTTTTTAATAAAAATAAATAAATATATAAAAAATATTTATATACTTAAATCTTTTTTTCTTCTTTTAAATTTTGAATATTCTTCTTGAATTTCTTTTAAATCTTTAATACCTAAATATTCTATCTTTACAAAGTAAAATATTTTTAAATATTAAATATTCTATTTTACAATAAATAAATATATTTTTTATTAATATAAATTTAACTAATTAATCAGCTTGATTTTCATCTTTTTACTTTTTCTTTTTTTATTTATTTTCTTCATTTTCATCTCCCTCATCATCATCACTACTTATTTTTATTATTTTATTAAAAAAAAAATAATACCTTTCAGAAGAAGAAGAGGAAGAATAAAAATTAATTTATTATTCTTTAATATAATTTTCTTAATCACTTCCATAAAAAGTATTTTTTTTAAAGGAAATCCATATTTATCTAAAATAACTGTATTTATACCTCTCATTTAACCTTAATAAAAAGAAGTATAAATAAATATATATATATATAGTCTTTAACAAAAAATAAAAGCATTTAATTCCCATAAAATTTTAATTAAATCAATTATTTAAGAATATTAACTATACATAGCATTATGTATTATTTAATTTAATTTTTGTAATACTTCTATATCAATATTTATACTTTCTTTTTCTTTTCCTGTTTATGTTTAATAAAGTACAAATAAACCCATAATACAGGCCATTTATATTTTTATATTATTTATTGAAATTAATTTATCTATTTATATATATTTTTTTTATAAATAAACTTCTTTTATATTTTCTTACCTAATAATACTCCATAAAATAATTAAATAAATTATTATTTATTTTCTTTTGAATTTAAACACTTATTTTATTTTGTTTAAAAAAAAAATATAAAATAAAAGAATACTTAAGTTAAATAATGCATATTGTTTTATTTCCACAATTGTTTGAAAAGTTAAAAGTTTAAGAATTTTTGATTGTCTAAATTCTTTTTTTTATTTTTTAATAAATATATATAGATATATATATATTACTTATTTTAATTATTTCTTTTACATTTATTGAATTAAAAAATGGTTAAATGTCTTTAATTAGAGCTTATTTTCGATAATCTAATAAACAATTAGGATGATATATTTAGCAAAATTCTCTTTAATTTTCCATATTTTTTATAAGAAAAAATATATATATATATAAAAATTAGATTAATAATAATAATTTTTTTTTTACAAAAGACAATTAATTGAAAAAAAAAAAGAATATATATAAAAAAATAATACTATTTTTTTTTTAAACAAAAAAAAAATCAAATTTCATCATTAAATGGATCTTCATTTTTTGAAAAAATAATAGGTATATAATCACCTTTAATTCTTAATAATTCATTTACAAATCCTCCTATAAAACCTAAAAAACTTGCAATAGGAATGCAATAATATTCATCTTATATTAATTAAATATCTAATTATCTTCCCCTTTAATCTTCTAAATCGAAAATACTGAATATAATTCCATAAAAAAGTCCCATAATAATACTTAAAATTAAACTTACAACAATCTTTTTTTTTTGATATACAAATATATATTTTATATTATTAATTTTTTTTTTTACTTATTTAGGAGTTTCTACAAAAGTTTTAGAATTTGATGTTTGGAAAAATCCTAAAAAATAATTAATTAAGTCAACAATTGAAAAAATGACACAAAAATTTAATGACATTGATATTATTATATATAAAGGGGCTTTTTCTAATGGACTTAATATTATTACCCAATTTTCGTCTAAAAAAAAACAGAAAATGCCAGATACTAATACCAAACAGGAAAATAATAATAAAAATGGTTTCCTTTCATTCATTTCAGGGTCATTTTAAAGACTTTATATACGCATTATTAATAAAATTCCTATTGTTAAGAAACATATTCCAAAATACTTTTTTTTTATAATATTTATTTACATTTTTATTTTTTTTTACAAATGCAAATATTATATTTAATGATATCTCAACTAAAGTAGTATTCAATATTGCACTTGTAAATATACATATTAATAAGCCTATTATTCCGGAAATTACACATTTTATTATTTCATAATTACTTAATTCATTTAAATATTAATATAATTAATATGATTTTGATTACATATAATTAGTTTTTAAAGATTTTTTAAAATTATAAATATATATATATATATATTATATATTTATATACTTTTATATATTTACATATATATATATATATTATTTTTATTTTTTTCGTTTTTTTATATTTTTTATTCTTTAATAATAAAAAATATATAAGTAATTTTTTTTTTTATATTATTTATATTTATTCTAATTATTTTATAAGAAAATAATTCAATCTATAATTCAATTTTATTCTAAATAAGATATAGGTATTTATATATAAAATTAATTGCAATTTAAATATAATTATGAATTATTATTATCAATAGATAAGATATAATATTCTTAAATAAATATAAACTTAAATTTGAATTAGCATTTTATAAAGGAATTTAATTTTGATTAAGCTTAAAATTTTAATATGATGTTATTTGTATTGTACTTTATGTTTAAATATAATTTAAACAATTTTTTATTGCTCTAACTTTATTTAATAACTTTATAAATTAATATTTATTATTTAGTTTTGATTTTCTAGTCTTTAGTTTGTCACAATAAGAATAAATTTGTTTATGAAAAAACTGAAGTGATTATTTAGAATGTATTATTTATAATTAAAATTCGATGTTTAAAATTAATAAACATAATATTATTGTTAAAAGGGTATTTTTATTATATTTTTGTTTATATTAAACTGAAATTATAGAGTTTATATATTTTATTAAAATAAATAAAATAAATAAA